ATGTACAGCAGTAAATTAACTAGACAAAACCGGTTTTGTCTAGTTAAAACTAGAATTTACTGTAGTCAAAAATGAATTTGAGTTAAAACTAGTTTTAACTAGACAAAACGGGTTTTAACAAAGACATTCAGTATAAACTAGTTTCAACTAGTTAAAACGCGTTCTAACTAAAAACGGGTTTTGACTGTAACATATATATATATATATAAATAATATATAGTATGATAAAAATATATATAGTATTCAAATTTTGTATTTTTATGATCTGAAGGTATTTTCCAGAAATCCAAAAACATTAATTTGATAAATTTTATTATCAAAATTTAAGAATTTTGATGAAATAAAACTATTACATAGAAATGGAGAATATCATTAAAATATATTAACACAAATTTTATTTATTAAAGGGTAGCATATAGGAATACAAATCAATATAAAACATTGAATAACATAAATTCTTATCACATCAGATGTTTAAGAAGAATTGTAGCCCTATAATATTCGGCATTGGTTGGTGTGTAGCTTTATAATATATTGGATTTAGTGATGATGTTTGTTTATTAGAAGAATTCAAGATTGGGAAAAGGAAAAGATTCAGAAAGACAGAATGATAGATTATTTTTTTTCCTTTCTTTCTTTCTTTCTATTTTAAGTCTAAAAAAGGCATGATACATTCTGAATATAGCAGAATATGATGTAAAGATAAGAAAGAATCTGGATAGTAGGGACCAAATCATTCATGATTTAGACCTGCATCTATTCAAATCTAGAATAGTTTTACTTTCCTGGCTCTGTTATATATAACAGGGGAAAGTATGGCAATTGGTCAAAAAATGACCCCTGAAGATTTTTACATTTTTGGACTCAGCAACTTGAATTGTTAAGAAATGCAAAATAATTTAGGGGAGTTTTTCTGTAGATATGGATGTTTGTGTGGGGCAGCATGATTTGTTTACCCTATTTAATGCTTAATAACTCCTGTGCTTTTTGTCAAAAATTTCTGAAATTTTGCAAGGAGGTTTGTGTATTAGGGGCATGGATACTATTAAATTTTGGTGGTTAAAGATCGATGGGGTGGAGAGATAGAAGAGGTCATGCAGCATATCTTGAGTAGGGTTGGACTTAATGACAATTTTACTCGCTATCATTATTTACAATTTTTTATAAAACCCATCCTTACCCTCACAATGAAGCTTTTTCCATTTTATAATAATTAAAAATATAAAAATTTTAAAATAAAATATCATAACAGCTGGCACTACATGCAGTTTTAAATGTTGCTGAGAAAGTTAAGCAACTCATTGCTGGATTTTTTACATGGTCAACAATAAGTAACAATGACCAGGTAGCTGGAACAGAGGATGGTCTAAATTATAGTACATGCTAGATCTGAAATTATCTCTAAGTTTGGACAATTAAGTGCAATCAAAATTGGAAGCCAATAAGAATTTAACATCAACTATCTGAAAAGAAAGGAATTTTATTCTATAGTTGATTACACATGAGACAGATGAACATTTAACTTCTTTTGTAATATTTATAATCCAGTGAATATAAGATGATTTTAAATAGCTGTGAAATGTTATAAACTTGCTTACAACTTGTTTAGACGTGACATAGTCTTTCCTCAATCACAAACATCTATTGTGCAAAAACTATGCTAGATAAAAATGTACAGTTTGCAGCAAATTATACTAATACTCAAAGAAGTTTTTTTATAAGTTAGTATATTATGTGCTCCATTTGTGGCAGGATAATGTCAATTCTTCTCAATATATCAGATGGAAAAATTTGCATATAGGAAGAAGTAATGCCCAGTGTGGCGGCCGCATAATTGTAACCAGCGCTACATCTGAAAATCCAGGTGGCGCTGGCGCGACAGATATATAAGCATGTGCAGGCCGTCCGCCATACTTCCTTCCCGGCTTGTCAGCTACTCTCGGGTTACTCTCATGTATACGTGGATTCTAACCAACCGACCGTTAGGTAGACGAGATTTCTTTGTATATTGTGTAAATAAAGCAAATAGGAGATATATGACTACAGTCTCTATACATATATTCAGCGAACACAATCAAGTGGTGTGACGACTGCCACATTGGTGAGCCGAACGTGATTTCTCGTTCCGAAGCTAATCCAACTACATCGGCTGCTTTTCATCGAAGTTCGGAAAACTAACAGGGCCAGAGACATTCATCAACATTCAGGACAAGCAAGTAATAATTATTTTTTATTTTTACGGTTTTTCACACGTGCTGGAGGACAAATGTCGAACGACGACAACGGAAGCATGGCAACCTACGTGCCAGAAATCGCTCGGGTGGCGGTACGAGCCCCACCGTTCTGGAAGGCTAACCCGACCCTTTGGTTCGCACAAATAGAAGCCCAGTTCGCAAACGCCAATATAACAGCCGACGAAACAAAATTCAACCATGTTATTGCGGCCATGGAGAGCGAAATCTTCGCCCAAGTGAGCGACATAGTCGTCCAACCTCCGAACAAAGAGAAATACCTCACGCTCAAACGCCGATTAATTGACCAGTTCGCGGATTCTGAACAACAGCGGCTACGATTATTGCTTCAAGGCATTGAGCTAGGGGATCAATGCCCATCTCAATTACTATGGAAGATGCGAGAGTTAGCCACAAATAGAATTACAGACGACGTGCTAAAGACACTTTGGCTCCAGCACTTGCCAACAGCCGCTCAACAAATACTAGTGGTAAGTGGCGAAGATCTAACAAAAGTTGCCGAATTGGCCAATAAAATTTGCGAAGTCACCGCACCGATGGGCCAGATTCAGGCCGTGTCACCGCTGCCGGCCAAGAACCACGTGGACGTGATCGCCCAGTTGAAGGAACAGATATCACAATTGTCCCTCCAGATTCAACAAATCACTGAGTCAAAACCCTACCGACGTAGCAGGCATCGCAGCCGCCGTTTTTCGTCTCCCCATCGAAACAGAAGCACATCAGAGGGGAGGCAGGTCTGCTGGTACCACCGGAAGTTCGGAGACAAAGCAAACAAGTGCACGTCCCCCTGCCAATTCCAGTTGGGAAACTGATCGGGCCGTCGCTCGATGACACGGGCGACGGCCAATCTAGGGGACATAGGCTCTTCTTGCATGATAGGGCCACGTCGACGTGTTTTCTGATATATACAGGAGCGGACATTTCTGTAGTTCCCCCAACTCCGGCCGAAGGAAGAAGAGCCAGACCGACTGCAACTCTTTGCAGCAAACGGCTCAAAGATCAAAACGTACGGACGGAGACTATTATCATTGGAATTGGGTCTGCGCCGGTCATTTCAATGGCCGTTCGTAATAGCTGCAGTATCCAACCCAATAATTGGAGCAGATTTCTTAAGGAACTTTGGCCTTATTGTCGATATTCGATACAAAAGGCTTATAGATAACCAAACTAAACTTGCGAGCGCTGGAAAAGCCGTGACGGTGGCAACACCGACACTATCACTCGTCGGAGACAACTCCTCCTTCCATCGCCTGCTCGCAGAGTTTCCTGAGCTGGTCACACCATCTACACCAGCAGAACCGCCCAAACATAGTGTAGTCCACTTCATTCAAACCCGGGGACTGCCAGTCGCAGGAAAGCCTCGCAGACTTCCGCCCGAAAAGCTCAACGCAGCAAGGAAGGAGTTCGAATATATGATGGCCCAAGGAATTTGCCGACCATCCAGCAGCCAGTGGGCTAGCCCGTTGCACCTAGTGCGAAAAAGCGACGGCGACTGGAGGCCCTGTGGAGACTATAGGAGGTTAAACGCAGTAACAGTTCCCGACCGCTACCCCATACCCCATATACAAGACTGTGTGCAGCTGTTATGCGGCAAGTCCGTTTTCTCGACGCTCAACCTAGTGAGGGCTTACCACCAAATCCTTGTGAACCTGGAAGACGTCCCCAAAACAGCAGTGACCACCCCTTTCGGGTTGTTCGAGTTTCTATACATGGGCTTCGGCTTATGCAATGCTGCACAGACGTTCCAATGGTTTATTCACCAAGTCCTACGCGGGCTGGACTTTTGTGTGCCCTACTTCGACGACGTATTAGTGGCGTCGACCAGTGAAGCGGAACATTGGGAGCATCTCAAGACCGTCCTGGAACGCTTCAAAGAATACGGAGTACGGATCAACCCGTCCAAATGCATCCTTGGTCAATTTGAGGTAAGATTTTTAGGCTATCGCGTAACTCCCGCAGGCATCGGTCCCTTGCCAGATAGGGTTGCAGCAATAGGCCAGATACCCCAACCAAAAACAGTACGTGAATTGCGTAGGTTCCTGGCAATGCTGAATTTTTACCGACGTTTCATTCCCCATGCAGCAAAATCCCAGGCGCCCCTCTGCAAATTCCTAAAAGGGGCAGCAAAGAATGATAACCATGCAATTAATTGGGATGAAGACTCAAAAAAAGCATTCCAAGAGTGCAAAGATAAATTAGCGCGAGCAGCAACACTAGTATATCCTGATTCCACGGCGCCGACAGCACTGATTGTTGACGCTTCTGACATCGCCGTAGGGGCGGTCTTGCAGCAAAAGCAGGACAATGAGTGGAAGCCTCTAGCCTTTTTTTCCCGCAAGCTAGCACCAGCGGAGCTATGGGTGAGGACCCATTATAGAAACTCTTCCAACTGATGTGGTACAAATGGTTTCACCATGTCCAGTTACATGTTTATTGTAATTGTGGGATTATTAAAACAAAACAGTCCAATAATCATGTTACATGCAATAAAAATGCTTACTAGATTTTGTTTTCTAATGTTTTTAGCTACTATATTATTCATATTGAAATTTCAGTAGTTGTTTAAAGGTTATTTAAACTTGCTTCTTTAACTGCAAATAATATTTGCTTAAATTACTTAAATTAAACATTTCCATAAAAACTATTCAGAATAAGATGTTTTTTTTAGATTGTCAGTGTCAGAATGCAGTGGAATGCGATCAAGAAACTGGACAATGCCGATGTAAAGAAGGATTTCAGGGAGATTATTGTGAAATTAAAACAGGTAATGCATTTTATATTAATATTAGCTGCAAGATCCCGCTTCGCTGGGTTTTTATTTGTATGTAATAGTATAGTTTTTTTATATATATATAAAAGACTGTTTTTCTAAGTAATCTAGAATCTAGCTGCAAGGACCCGCTTCGCTGGGCAAAAAGTAACGATAGTGAAGATTAAGATAATTACATTATAGCTAATCTTACCCGTTTTCACAAAGTGCAAGAATTAGGTCCCCCCTCTTACGAGACTAATTAGAAAATTTTTAGATATCTGCTTACCACACTGGGATAACGATAATTAAGATTCACAGCAACCACTAACCAGTGCGTGGTACCACTAAGTGACAAATAACAAACATTTTTGTAACCCCTTCCAGGATCTTCTAGTTTACTAAATTCGAAAAATAAGTTGGATCTTCTCGAATCATTCATTAATATAAATTCAAATATAAAATCAAACATTAAGACTAAGAGTTTGAATAAAGCAAACTTATGTGCATGTGTTCTCTGTGTCAACTTTACAGGGTGGCAATAATTAGCCTGTACAAGTTTTTTGCATTGTAAATTTATTGAAGAAATGAAAATTAGCAAAACAACAGCAGATAGCAGTGACAATACTTTACGTATTAATCAGACATTCAGCCTGTTCAAAGTGGCCTCCTTTTGCCTTGATGCAGAGCCCCAAATGTGTTTCTAAATTCTCGGCAATGGGCCACAGCTCTTCTGGAGACAGTTTGTCCCACTCCCAGCACAAGGATTGCTTCAGCGACTCCAAACTTTTGTGGTACTTAGCGCAGGCCCTAGCCTCCAAAATGGACCACACACTAGTCCATCGGGTTCAGATCCGGTGAGTACGGTGGCCATTCCGCAGACACGATGAAATCAGGAAAATGAGCCTTGCACCACTCCAGAGTCTTCTTCGCCCTGTGTGCTAACGCTGAGTNATTGACACTTTTTTATTTGTGGTACTACTTAATGGTATTTGAATGGTATTCTAAAAGAAATAGATGTGATACTGCTATCATAATTTCATACAGAAAACCCTTGGTTGTATATAACCTTTTACAGCATATATCCTGCAAAATTTCTTAGAATTGAAATAAAACTTTTGCATACTATGACACATACTAGTATGCAGTTTAGAAACTTTTATTTCAAACAATAAAACATTGCCTTTCTATTATAAAATCATTGTAGTTGTATTCATGAAATAAATCAAATGAAAAAAATGATACTGAGAGGGAGAGAGAGAGAACTTCCTAACTTCATATGTGGAAGATGTAAATGTCTGCTGAACAAACATTTTAATTAATCATATTATTTCACTTCTGTTTTATTTATCAAATAATAATTATAATATAATAATAATAATTGTTAAAATAAACCAAAAAATTAAGTAGATAATAATTTTAATGTCTATAATATTTAATGGCACAGATTTGAGAGTTGATCATTCAGCTTTTATTCATATATAAACAACTCAAAGCCCAATAGTTATATTACAGCCAAACAATTACCAGATTAAATCAGGTAATGTAGCTTGATTGGAAAGTAATTTTGGAGAATTCCTTAAGGCCTCTTGATGGAATGTGGTGTGAAACATGAAACAGAGAAGAGCACATATTATACTTGATTGTATATTTTGTTGAATACTCTGTTTTTATACTCTATTATAAAATACTTTTTATACAGTGTTTAGTTTGTAAAGTTAGTCAGAAGAGAAAAAGACTTTTCTTATGAAGTTATATGCCATCAATAGATGGGGTTTATACTGGAAAGATGCAGTAACATAAAGGATGTTGTGGGTTTGCTGTAAATGCTGAATATCAAGCTTTGTGGTTTCTTTGTTATACAAAAATCTAGGAACCTTATGGTACATTATCCTCTTTTTCTAGAGCGAAATTAATGTAAGAATTGCAGGAACTCAACACATTCAGAAAATCATTGAGTTCAGAATTTTTCCCTTGCCATTATATCAGATTGTCATTTACATATGATGCTGGATATCAGTGAGTATCTGATTATGAGCAGTGCATATAAGACATAGGCTCTGACAAAGAGAGGGTCAGATGTTAGAGTTTCTTATTCAAATGAAACTTGGTGAACTTGTAGGACCTACGTCTCAAGTATTTCTGAAAACAGTCTTCTAAAAATTTAATTATAAGCAATTTAAAAATTATTGTGTCATTTCCTTTTTAGCAGAACCTATCCAATATAGATATGGGAAATACTGTTTTTAAACTCATAAATTATTGTATGCCTAATATGATCTTCATTCACATCTATATTTATGAGGGTTTATTCTGTTACTAACCTTGAAAAGTAAATTTGTATTAGTATATTTTGCTTACATGAACATGTTTACATATGCACTTATATAATGTTTAGACTTTTATGCTGATTATAAAGAGAGAAATAATGACTCAATTTCTACCTTACAATTTCAGACATTATTTATAGGATGAGCTGACAATTATAGCAGAAGTATCAAATTTGATAAATTAATGTAATATATATAAGTTATAATTGTAAAACTTCCAGATTTTTTTTATGTATGCTGTAAAAACACATATAGATATAAACTTCTCTTGTCAATTTTAAGTCTTAATTACACAGATTTAACAATGCATTAGTTAAAAAACTTTTGTTAAAAATATTTTCATCTTCAGGACAATTTTAAAAGCAAAAGTGTTTTCAAGTAAATTTTTTAAATATGTGTAATTAATAGCTTTAAAAGATTTTAAGTTTCTGAATTATGTAAATACCTACAATGAGATATATTTATAAAGTAGAGTTAGCATATTCCTGGAATTAAATTAATATTGATAAGAATATTGAAAGATTGATTGGAAATTTTCAATACTCAAGAGAAAAATTCCAACTTTATTAATAACAAACTATCAAAACTGCTTTGTTGAGGTCACTTTTTTATAAAATTAAATAATATAACTTACAGTAATGTAATTTGTTTTCAATAGCAACTTTATGCTAAGTTCCAAAGAACATACAATTAATTGAGAGAACAGCAAGCAATCAAGTACTAATCTTAAGAACTTTCAACAAGGTCCATCATCAAGAGTATCAACTGTGGAACCAATGTTTTTCAATATAATTATTGATTAAATGGTGCAAAAATTGTCATTGTTTAAATTATTGAATTCAAAATGTTTTTTTTACTTCTTGTGATTATTGCATGCGCTGTACGAAAACAGATCTTTATATATATATATATATATATATATATATATATTAATATGAATATAGAAGAATTCTGTAGTAATAATTTCTATTTTAATAGGTTGTGATGTGCCTATAGTTCGTGCACCACTTATAATCACAACTTATCCACCAAATGCTCCTATTTATATTAATTATACATGTGCAAATGGATATTCATTATTAGGAAGTTCTCATAATATATGTAAAAATGGGAAATGGCATAAAAGTCCTCCTAAATGTGGTAAGTTAAAGTTTCTAGAATGTAAAATATTAATATTAAAAGCTTGATATTATAATAATAATTAACAATTAATGTTTACATATTTAATTACAGTTAAAATGTGTTCTTATCCCCCTATTCCTGAATATGGTGAAATTGAAACTAAAAAATCACTTACATATGCTGCAGGTGAAACAATAACTTATACTTGTAAAAACCATTATCAACTTTTAGGTGAAAAGAAAAATGTGTGTAATATTGATGGAAAGTGGAAAAATAATCCTCCCACATGTGGTAAATATACATACCATAATTATTATGTTTTAAATGAATAGGACTTATTATATTCTACTATTTTTTTTTAATTTTAATTTTTTTTAAATTAAAAATTTTTGTTTAAGTAGCTGAATTAACAATTTGATTTGGTTTTTAAAATGTATATAGAACATGGTTAAAAACATGTCTGACAAATATTAACTCTGATATTACTGTCTATAACAATATATATTCAAAAAACTATCTTGTTAATGTGAATCTAGACAAGACCATATTTAGACAATTATCATTGCAGGGGCATGGAGGCTGATTTTGCTGACTGATACTAGTGATGATGTCTCAGGACATAGTCCTGCCTTAAGACCATTGTAATAATGGTCTTAAGGTAATAATAATGTAATGTCTTGGTCTAATTTTGATCTTGTGAAGTAGTGTTTCTGTCTTATCTGGGTCTTACTAAGAGTGTCTTGTATTGATGTGCATTCTGTTTTTCTAAAATGAAAGTCATCTCGAATGTTTAAAATCAAATCCTAATGAGAAAAATAAAACACATTTCATATAAAGATTACAAATATTTGCAAACATCTTTATTTTTGCTATTACTTCAGTTTTATAAATAATCCATATTGTGTAAGAACAGATTTTTGTGGATCTATCCATAGCAGTACTACATAGAGCAGTCTTTTGTGACAGTACTCATCATCTTGATCTGTACTGCTTCTTGTCAATACAGTATTGACAATACTGTATTTTTTCTTAATTATATTTTATGTAATGATTTTTAAATCCTTGTATGTTAAAAAAGTAGTGTCACAAGGTGTCAGGATCTTGCACTTTGGTCTTGAAAATGAAAATCTTGATTTTGTTTTGTTCTTGATTCTGTTTCTGGTTCTTTCTCTTGATCTTGAAACTTAGGGTTTTATTTAATATCACTGGCTGATATTGATAGTTTATATAAAGTACCAGTCGAGAAGGTTGGCTTTCCTTCTATTTTCCTATCCCTCATGTCCTTTCTTTATACCGCTGTATTTCTCTTAATTTCAAAAAACAAGTATTTTCTTTTTTATAAATTTTCTTTTATATTTCTTTTTTTAAAACAAGTATTTTCTGTAAATTTCATTAGTGTTATGACTTTGCCAACTATTCAATGGAATTTATCAACACTTGGGGTGAGATGCACCTCAAATCCCCTAGTAGCTTTGCTCCGATGTAGATGATATGTATGTGATTCTTTTCTTCTTCAGGTAAAAGAAATATCTTTTATATGAGATTGCATGGTTTCTAATATGATCTGTACATATTATTAAAAATATAATAAAAGTTTAAAATACACAAAAAAATATTTAAAAAATGCAATTTAGATATGAAATCTAGACTGAAATCTATGTACCAGAAGTATAATAAGGCAAACAATAGACTTTTAACAGTGGGTAATAATTTGAGGAAATGCGAGCATTTTCAACCTAGTAAATGGGCCATTTTTCAGATATAAAAAGATGTAAGTGAAATATTATTTTTAAATCTCACTATTACAAACACTAATATGTATGATAATGTTAATAAAATAGTACATATATTAATTAAAATTAATAAAAATACTAAAATTTGTTAGTTTTATTCTGTATTGAACATATTTTTTGAGACATTAAAGTATTATCATCAGATCCAATACCTTAAGAATATTAAAAATTTGAATAAAAACTGATGCCTTATGAATATTCTGTTACAGAATTTTTGAACAGTTCAAAAATAAAATAATAATACATTTAAAATAGGATATGCCACTAATAGTTTGTAGATCTATTATGTCTGTTTATTTCATTCAAAGAAAATTAATTAAGGGAAAGCAAGTACCAGAAATAAGATACATTACAACAATTGAAGAATGAGTTATTAGTAACCTTTGTTAATAACTTATTCAAATACACATTTCAACATAGAAAATCCACTTTGCTGCATCTCTTCTGTTTCTAATGTACACATAACAGATTTGCATAGAGACCCTAATGACATTGCATACCTTGGAGATACTGGTGATCACGAAGTCCCTACTGACTTCTGATGTAATCTGAACTGCAGGTATTTTTGATTTTGTGCTTTATATTATATGAAATAATGAAAACCTTGTTTGGAATCATTAATGGTTGTATTATTTCCTGAAGTTTGGTTCTACTTTTGATAATACTGTAATATGTATGTGAAATAAGAATTTTAGTATAAGTTAAACAGTAATACTGTATGAAATTTTTAAAAATTAAAATTTTTTTTTACTATATTTGAATTCACTTTTAATGAAAAAATATCAAATTTCCAAATACCCAAGTAACAAGTACCCAAAATCTTATTTTGGGAAGAAAGCATTATTCCTGTAAAAATATAAATTAATGATAAATTTCATTTTGATATGAAGATATTAGAAATTGTTAGAAATTTATTTTATTCTCTCCTGTAGATATTGATGAATTATTATTTTTTCTATCTTGACTATACTGAATGGTTTTACATATTTCATTATTTTTTACAGTAAAATTAAAACTTTGTGATGATCCAGGAACACCTGACAATGCTGTAAGAAATATCAATGGTCCCATCAATCTGTCAGAAGGAGTTTATCCTGAAGGAACTATTATAAAGTATGAATGTGAAAAATCCTTTATTATAGATGGAAAACAGTCAATTGTTTGTAAACCTGATCAAACATGGTCTGATCACATTCCCAAATGTGTTAAAAGTATAATTTGAAATTTATTAGCATATATTTATATTTTATTTTCTTGTCTCTGTAATAATTTGAAATACTTAGTTGCAGAAATAGGTATAACTTGTGATACCAGAGGTTCAAATTTAATGTCAGATGTTGGAATTCATGTGAGGTAAATTTTTATTCAAAAATTTTATAATAAAAATTTATACATTTTATTTTTTTAAATTAATGTATATTACTTTAAATAACAACAGTTTTACTTAAACTGAATTAATTATGGAATCATTTTGTTTATCAGTTTATAAAATGATTCAATTAAAGGAATATAATGTATAATATATTTATTATACATTATATAGTTAATATACAGTTTATGTAGTCATATCCTTATAGTTAATATACAGTTTATATAGCCATATCCTAAAATATTCTTTCGATCAGCTAATTATATTTTCTCTCTTCTCTGTAAGTTCAATTCAATAAAAAAAAAGAAACCAAGGTCATCAAGCATGATTTGTTGTACCTGAGTCAAAAAACTATTCATTCTTTGTTTTAGAGCTTTTTGTCTATTGTATAAAATAAATAGAAAATCAAACTTGCCTGTCTGAAATCCCTGTGTGTGTTGTAAACGTGTTACCCTGTGAAAAGTCTATAAGTATTTAATTTTCCACTTCTAACAACTTGGGTTTTTTTTTCATTTCTGAATGGTACTTTTTATTCTTATTCTTTCTTATTAATAAGTGCTCTTTAGCAGCTGAGTGGATAAAACCACTGAACACTGGTTGTGGATTCAGGCATGGCCAATGAACTGGCCACATGGAATTTTCTGGGTTTTCTTCACATTAGTAATACCTAAATAGGGAACAACTTCATATAAAAGTTTTTCTGGGATGCATCCCCTTGACAGATTGCTCAAGTGTCTCATTGCCGTAACCAAATAAACCAAAGTAATTCTAATAATTTTTCTATAAACATGATATTTATGAGAATATGCTTTCCACATAGTTTATGAAATCTGTTGCAAAAGTGTAAACACTTTATTATCATATAAAAGCAATTATTCTCATATTTTTATAAGATTTTTTTATTTAAACAAGTCTTATGTGAAGTCTTTCGGACATGTAGGTTATCAACTTCAATCACTTATTAGGCCATCACAACCTATCCAACACAGACCACTTTTCAAATATTAATAGTACACCAGTATTAATTTGTATCATCCTCTTCTAAAAGGACAATGACTACTTTTGGTTGAATTACTTCAACCACCTTCTGCAACAAACTCCTCTCTCTATTGAACCAGCAGTATGGTGGCATTTGAATAGGAAAATTACATAATACAAGGTTACCTGCAAGCACAAAATATGTTTTAAGTGGTTTTTGAGGATGCCAAGCTTAAATATTTTGTCCATTTTTTGCAAAATTTGTTTTGTTGGCAGATTACCATTTGATATTCAGCCATAAATGGTAAGGTTTCTTAGATTTAACGTTAAAAAAAAATTATGATATCTAAAAAAATTTATTATATTTTCAATTTCTGTCTACTTGACCATTGAAATAGTGCCATTTTCTACTATCTGCATATCATAATAAACATGACAAGGGTAGGCTAAAATAACAAAACTCTTTATATGATTTTCATTTTAATGTTTGTTATATACTATACTATATTATATTATAATACTATATATAACAAGTATTTGATTCACTATATATAACTAGTATTTGATTTATATAACTGCAAAGATTATCTTATGTAAGGGTTTATCATGCCAAGTGACCAATTAACACATTTTAAAAATTCTTTAAATTGTGTTCAGTAAAGGAATAAAGAATTTTTAAAATATGTTAGATTGGTCACTTGGCATGATAAACCCTTACATAAGATAATCTTTGTAGTTATATAAATCAAATACTATAATATAATATAATAGAAGGATTAGAAGTACAAAATAATCTAATAATCTTAATGTTTGTTGTTAGTTTTTTGTTCTGACAATGCTAGGCTTATCTGATAGTATAAAATAATAGCAACCTGACTTCATTCATCTTTATCATCATTATTATTATTAGTTTTTTATTTTTGTTCTACATTTATCTATGAAATAAAATATAAAATCTTGATATTATATTATATTATAAAATTATATAGATATGTTACCGGCCAAACCCGATTTCAGGCCAAACTGGTTTGTGCTAGGCCAAACTAGTTTATCCTATGCATGCCAGGATATACTAGTTTAGCCTAGGATAATCTAGTTTGGCCTAGGCCGAACTGATTTACTGTATTTACTGTACTACAAATAGGTGCCAATGTAAAAAAATTAATGATTTTGTGTAATTAGAAATGCCACCACAGTACACCCAGTGATTAAAGTGTACAGTATTTAGGTAACCCTAATGGCGGTGCTTCGGTTAGATTAATTACATTTTTAATAGATGTTTCCTTTTTTTCTTTTGTTCAAGAACTACCGTGAATCAANAAAAGACTTTTCTTATGAAGTTATATGCCATCAATAGATGGGGTTTATACTGGAAAGATGCAGTAACATAAAGGATGTTGTGGGTTTGCTGTAAATGCTGAATATCAAGCTTTGTGGTTTCTTTGTTATACAAAAATCTAGGAACCTTATGGTACATTATCCTCTTTTTCTAGAGCGAAATTAATGTAAGAATTGCAGGAACTCAACACATTCAGAAAATCATTGAGTTCAGAATTTTTCCCTTGGCATTATATCAGATTGTCATTTACATATGATGCTGGATATCAGTGAGTATCTGATTATGAGCAGTGCATATAAGACATAGGCTCTGACAAAGAGAGGGTCAGATGTTAGAGTTTCTTATTCAAATGAAACTTGGTGAACTTGTAGGACCTACGTCTCAAGTATTTCTGAAAACAGTCTTCTAAAAATTTAATTATAAGCAATTTAAAAATTATTGTGTCATTTCCTTTTTAGCAGAACCTATCCAATATAGATATGGGAAATACTGTTTTTAAACTCATAAATTATTGTATGCCTAATATGATCTTCATTCACATCTATATTTATGAGGGTTTATTCTGTTACTAACCTTGAAAAGTAAATTTGTATTAGTATATTTTGCTTACATGAACATGTTTACATATGCACTTATATAATGTTTAGACTTTTATGCTGATTATAAAGAGAGAAATAATGACTCAATTTCTACCTTACAATTTCAGACATTATTTATAGGATGAGCTGACAATTATAGCAGAAGTATCAAATTTGATAAATTAATGTAATATATATAAGTTATAATTGTAAAACTTCCAGATTTTTTTTATGTATGCTGTAAAAACACATATAGATATAAACTTCTCTTGTCAATTTTAAGTCTTAATTACACAGATTTAACAATGCATTAGTTAAAAAACTTTTGTTAAAAATATTTTCATCTTCAGGACAATTTTAAAAGCAAAAGTGTTTTCAAGTAAATTTTTTAAATATGTGTAATTAATAGCTTTAAAAGATTTTAAGTTTCTGAATTATGTAAATACCTACAATGAGATATATTTATAAAGTAGAGTTAGCATATTCCTGGAATTAAATTAATATTGATAAGAATATTGAAAGATTGATTGGAAATTTTCAATACTCAAGAGAAAAATTCCAACTTTATTAATAACAAACTATCAAAACTGCTTTGTTGAGGTCACTTTTTTATAAAATTAAATAATATAACTTACAGTAATGTAATTTGTTTTCAATAGCAACTTTATGCTAAGTTCCAAAGAACATACAATTAATTGAGAGAACAGCAAGCAATCAAGTACTAATCTTAAGAACTTTCAACAAGGTCCATCATCAAGAGTATCAACTGTGGAACCAATGTTTTTCAATATAATTATTGATTAAATGGTGCAAAAATTGTCATTGTTTAAATTATTGAATTCAAAATGTTTTTTTTACTTCTTGTGATTATTGCATGTGCTGTACGAAAACAGATCTTTATATATATATATATTAATAAGAATATAGAAGAATTCTGTAGTAATAATTTCTATTTTAATAGGTTGTGATGTGCCTATAGTTCGTGCACCACTTATAATCACAACTTATCCACCAAATGCTCCTATTTATATTAATTATACATGTGCAAATGGATATTCATTATTAGGAAGTTCTCATAATATATGTAAAAATGGGAAATGGCATAAAAGTCCTCCTAAATGTGGTAAGTTAAAGTTTCTAGAATGTAAAATATTAATATTAAAAGCTTGATATTATAATAATAATTAACAATTAATGTTTACATATTTAATTACAGTTAAAATGTGTTCTTATCCCCCTATTCCTGAATATGGTGAAATTGAAACTAAAAAATCACTTACATATGCTGCAGGTGAAACAATAACTTATACTTGTAAAAACCATTATCAACTTTTAGGTGAAAAGAAAAATGTGTGTAATATTGATGGAAAGTGGAAAAATAATCCTCCCACATGTGGTAAATATACATACCATAATTATTATGTTTTAAATGAATAGGACTTATTATATTCTACTATTTTTTTTCAATTTTAATTTTTTTTAAATTAAAAATTTTTGTTTAAGTAGCTGAATTAACAATTTGATTTGGTTTTTAAAATGTATATAGAACATGGTTAAAAACATGTCTGACAAATATTAACTCTGATATTACTGTCTATAACAATATATATTCAAAAAACTATCTTGTTAATGTGAATCTAGACAAGACCATATTTAGACAATTATCATTGCAGGGGCATGGAGGCTGATTTTGCTGACTGATACTAGTGATGATGTCTCAGGACATAGTCCTGCCTTAAGACCATTGTAATAATGGTCTTAAGGTAATAATAATGTAATGTCTTGGTCTAATTTTGATCTTGTGAAGTAGTGTTTCTGTCTTATCTGGGTCTTACTAAGAGTGTCTTGTATTGATGTGCATTCTGTTTTTCTAAAATGAAAGTCATCTCGAATGTTTAAAATCAAATCCTAATGAGAAAAATAAAACACATTTCATATAAAGATTACAAATATTTGCAAACATCTTTATTTTTGCTATTACTTCAGTTTTATAAATAATCCATATTGTGTAAGAACAGATTTTTGTGGATCTATCCATAGCAGTACTACATAGAGCAGTCTTTTGTGACAGTACTCATCATCTTAATCTGTACTGCTTCTTGTCAATACAGTATTGACAATACTGTATTTTTTCTTAATTATATTTTATGTAATGATTTTTAAATCATTGTATGTTAAAAAAGTAGTGTCACAAGGTGTCAGGATCTTGCACTTTGGTCTTGAAAATGAAAATCTTGATTTTGTTTTGTTCTTGATTCTGTTTCTGGTTCTTTCTCTTGATCTTGAAACTTAGGGTTTTATTTAATATCACTGGCTGATATTGATAGTTTATATAAAGTACCAGTCGAGAAGGTTGGCTTTCCTTCTATTTTCCTATCCCTCATGTCCTTTCTTTATACCGCTGTATTTCTCTTAATTTCAAAAAACAAGTATTTTCTTTTTTATAAATTTTCTTTTATATTTCTTTTTTTAAAACAAGTATTTTCTGTAAATTTCATTAGTGTTATGACTTTGCCAACTATTCAATAGAATTTATCAACACTTGGGGTGAGATGCACCTCAAATCCCCTAGTAGCTTTGCTCCGATGTAGATGATATGTATGTGATTCTTTTCTTCTTCAGGTAAAAGAAATATCTTTTATATGAGATTGCATGGTTTCTAATATGATCTGTACATATTATTAAAAATATAATAAAAGTTTAAAATACACAAAAAAATATTTAAAAAATGCAATTTAGATATGAAATCTAGACTGAAATCTATGTACCAGAAGTATAATAAGGCAAACAATAGACTTTTAACAGTGGGTAATAATTTGAGGAAATGCGAGCATTTTCAACCTAGTAAATGGGCCATTTTTCAGATATAAAAAGATGTAAGTGAAATATTATTTTTAAATCTCACTATTACAAACACTAATATGTATGATAATGTTAATAAAATAGTACATATATTAATTAAAATTAATAAAAATACTAAAATTTGTTAGTTTTATTCTGTATTGAACATATTTTTTGAGACATTAAAGTATTATCATCAGATCCAATACCTTAAGAATATTAAAAATTTGAATAAAAACTGATGCCTTATGAATATTCTGTTACAGAATTTTTGAACAGTTCAAAAATAAAATAATAATACATTTAAAATAGGATATGCCACTAATAGTTTGTAGATCTATTATGTCTGTTTATTTCATTCAAAGAAAATTAATTAAGGGAAAGCAAGTACCAGAAATAAGATACATTACAACAATTGAAGAATGAGTTATTAGTAACCTTTGTTAATAACTTATTCAAATACACATTTCAACATAGAAAATCCACTTTGCTGCATCTCTTCTGTTTCTAATGTACACATAACAGATTTGCATAGAGACCCTAATGACATTGCATACCTTGGAGATACTGGTGATCACGAAGTCCCTACTGACTTCTGATGTAATCTGAACTGCAGGTATTTTTGATTTTGTGCTTTATATTATATGAAATAATGAAAACCTTGTTTGGAATCATTAATGGTTGTATTATTTCCTGAAGTTTGGTTCTACTTTTGATAATACTGTAATATGTATGTGAAATAAGAATTTTAGTATAAGTTAAACAGTAATACTGTATGAAATTTTTAAAAATTAAAATTTTTTTTTACTATATTTGAATTCACTTTTAATGAAAAAATATCAAATTTCCAAATACCCAAGTAACAAGTACCCAAAATCTTATTTTGGGAAGAAAGCATTATTCCTGTAAAAATATAAATTAATGATAAATTTCATTTTGATATGAAGATATTAGAAATTGTTAGAAATTTATTTTATTCTCTCCTGTAGATATTGATGAATTATTATTTTTTCTATCTTGACTATACTGAATGGTTTTACATATTTCATTATTTTTTACAGTAAAATTAAAACTTTGTGATGATCCAGGAACACCTGACAATGCTGTAAGAAATATCAATGGTCCCATCAATCTGTCAGAAGGAGTTTATCCTGAAGGAACTATTATAAAGTATGAATGTGAAAAATCCTTTATTATAGATGGAAAACAGTCAATTGTTTGTAAACCTGATCAAACATGGTCTGATCACATTCCCAAATGTGTTAAAAGTATAATTTGAAATTTATTAGCATATATTTATATTTTATTTTCTTGTCTCTGTAATAATTTGAAATACTTAGTTGCAGAAATAGGTATAACTTGTGATACCAGAGGTTCAAATTTAATGTCAGATGTTGGAATTCATGTGAGGTAAATTTTTATTCAAAAATTTTATAATAAAAATTTATACATTTAATTTTTTTAAATTAATGTATATTACTTTAAATAACAACAGTTTTACTTAAACTGAATTAATTATGGAATCATTTTGTTTATCAGTTTATAAAATGATTCAATTAAAGGAATATAATGTATAATATATTTATTATACATTATATAGTTAATATACAGTTTATGTAGTCATATCCTTATAGTTAATATACAGTTTATATAGCCATATCCTAAAATATTCTTTCGATCAGCTAATTATATTTTCTCTCTTCTCTGTAAGTTCAATTCAATAAAAAAAAAGAAACCAAGGTCATCAAGCATGATTTGTTGTACCTGAGTCAAAAAACTATTCATTCTTTGTTTTAGAGCTTTTTGTCTATTGTATAAAATAAATAGAAAATCAAACTTGCCTGTCTGAAATCCCTGTGTGTGTTGTAAAAGTGTTACCCTGTGAAAAGTCTATAAGTATTTAATTTTCCACTTCTAACAACTTGGGTTTTTTTTTCATTTCTGAATGGTACTTTTTATTCTTATTCTTTCTTATTAATAAGTGCTCTTTAGCAGCTGAGTGGATAAAACCACTGAACACTGGTTGTGGATTCAGGCATGGCCAATGAACTGGCCACATGGAATTTTCTGGGTTTTCTTCACATTAGTAATACCTAAATAGGGAACAACTTCATATAAAAGTTTTTCTGGGATGCATCCCCTTGACAGATTGCTCAAGTGTCTCATTGCCGTAACCAAATAAACCAAAGTAATTCTAATAATTTTTCTATAAACATGATATTTATGAGAATATGCTTTCCACATAGTTTATGAAATCTGTTGCAAAAGTGTAAACACTTTATTATCATATAAAAGCAATTATTCTCATATTTTTATAAGATTTTTTTATTTAAACAAGTCTTATGTGAAGTCTTTCAGACATGTAGGTTATCAACTTCAATCACTTATTAGGCCATCACAACCTATCCAACACAGACCACTTTTCAAATATTAATAGTACACCAGTATTAATTTGTAGTCATTGATCATCCTCTTCTAGAAAGACAATGACTACTTTTGGTTGAATTACTTCAACCACCTTCTGCAACAAACTCCTCTCTCTATTGAACCAGCAGTATGGTGGCATTTGAATAGGAAAATTACATAATACAAGGTTACCTGCAAGCACAAAATATGTTTTAAGTGGTTTTTGAGGGTGCCAAGCTTAAATATTTTGTCCATTTTTTGCAAAATTTGTTTTGTTGGCAGATNTTTTAAGCACAGATAGCCTGTGAATTATCCACATGAAATTACTATACTTAAATAGAAATTTCCTTAAAAAGTAAACTAGTAATGTTACATACACATAGCACATACACAGCACACAGAGAGAGGAGGGGGTAATTTTGATGAAACTGGAACAAAAAACAAAAATTAAACAAAATTTTTCTTGAAAACAATTAAAAGTTAATTGTTTGCAAATATTCTTGATCCTAAGTGTTATCTTTATTTATTCACTAGCTGTTACCCGCGACTTCGTCAGCGGAGGTTTTGCAAGCAAACCCCATTTACATCCAATATTTCAATAACCATAGTAATTGTTATATAACACCTACCGCTGAAGAGAATTGCCGAAAATCAAACGAACTATTTTCAATTTGATCAATTTTCTGAAACGTTTACAATCGTTCTATAATCGAACCAATACGCANAGTATCAAAAACGTAAAATATTTGAGTAGCCGAAGACATAGCCAAAGATTACAGCGCCACAGCACTGGCGAAAATTTAAATTTGTCGACTGGAATTCCTTCGGATAACCGACGTTTCAGATAACCGACCTTCGGATAAACGACGCTCTACTGTATTATATAAATTTGTTTTTTTAAAATTATTAATTATTAACAGTTTTTTAAAAATAAAAATGTATATAATATCAATTATAATTATGCAATGATAGATAAAAAATGAAATCTTGCAATTGACAACTATCATTTTTTGGCAGCCCAGTAAAGTAGTTATTTAGTGAATATACAGTATGTTCAATGAAGATGGAAGTGTTTATTTTGACCAACAAAATTGCCTACTTCCTGTGAATGCTGAAGCATTACTGATCCTCCATTACAATTTTTCACTCTTGAATTATGATTATTAGGAAATAATATTTGCTCAAAGTTTATTAAAGCTGTATTTATTTCAAAAAAGAATAAATAACCAATATTCTAAATACCAGAGTTTTAATTTTCTTGTCATTCTATTTTGTGTTTTATTTTTGTTTTCTTCCTTCTAAAATGAGATTTGGCCAAACCAATATGCCTTGAGAAAGTATTTGGTTTGATATTGAATTTGAAGTATTTGGCCAAATACTTTAATAATGCTGAATAAATTTATTATAAATGTGGTGATATTTGTATCAATTTATATTAAAATGTAAAAGTATTAGATAAGTTATAATTTTAAATACACTGATTTGTTTTTTCTTTTTAAATTTATGTAGTAAAATGTAAACTACCATCACCTATTAACAATGGAAAAATAGATTATCAAAGTGCTACGGACAATGAAGTATCAGAAGGATTTATTTTAACATTCAGTTGTGATAGACTATATCATTTAATTGGTAATAAAACTATAAGATGTCTTGAAAGTGGTAATTGGAATAGTTTACCTCCAAAATGTATAAAAGGTACAATTAGTAAGTTTACTATTAAAAAATTTATTAACTTAGAAAATTTTTTTGTTATCTTTTTGTTCATGATTCATGTTTTATCAATAATTCCCCTAATTAACAAATTAATTTGATAATGTAATTATAATTGTAACAATAACCATAACCATAATTATAGTAGTATACGTATATTTCTTTTCTATCTGCTTACCAACAGCCCTATTTTTTATAAATTATTCAGAATTATTTGTCATTGTCTTCAAGATTACAAGGAATACAAGATAATTACAACTAGCTATAATTCTGAATATTTCCTTTAAAAAAAAAAAAAATAGATAATAATTTAGATTATTTTAAAATTCCATTATATTTTCATATATTTTACTCAAAGAATTGAATTTTTTTGTCAACTCTGTAATATGTTTTCTTTTTCTATTTTTCTTTATTCTATATTATTTTTATAGAAACATGATCTTTTATCTTTAACTTTTATATTTAATGAGAAGTATATAAATATTTTATATATTAGAACTTTAATATTTTGTGAAAATTAGTGTTAAAACATAAAATTGGATTTTAAAGTATTTAAGATCATTAAAATAATAATAAGCTTTCTACTCAAAATAATGCTGATTTTCTTCTTCACATTAGTTTTTCTCTCTAAATTTTACAAATATTTTCATAGCAGTTTTATTTTGATACAATTTCTATATTTAAATGAAACAATATTTACTACAGTCAATGTTTTTAATTAAAGGTCCAGAATAGAGAAATAACTATCTCATTTAAATATAAAGTTTGCATTGAGATAAGGTGTAAATGAATTCATTAAATTCATTTACACCTTGAAGTTACAGACAAAATGAAATGGAATTATGTGTAAAAATATTGAGCTACAAGTTGTAAAAGTTTAGTATGTATTTCTGCTAATATACATTGTAAAGTATTTAAAAAATTATGTATTTGTGTATTACTAGAAAAAATTGATTAAAATGTAGGAAGAGAAAAAGTATAAAATTATTACATTTCTTATTTTTATTAGATATTATTGAAATTACTTGAATTTATATGTAATTACCTTTAATCTGTGCTTCATATTTTTCTACATATATTTCTGAGAAACATCAGTTTAAATTTTTCTGCTTTTTTTCTGGTTAAGAGCATTTTCTACCATTGAAGTCATGCAATATTCATTATTTATATTTATTTTTATTTTAAAGTAATAAAACTGATTGCTTTGATATCAACGGGGTGCATCATAAACATTTCCTGGATATGCCCAATATTCATTTTGTTCAATGATAATAATATGGGCTTATTTTGTGAAAAAAATGCTTAAAATTTTATAGCATAAATTAAAGATATTTTTACTTGAATATTAGTAAAAAATATCCAAAAGTATATATGTTTTTCATTTAGAATAAAAATGCAAGGAACTTGTCTTTAGCAATTCATTAGCACTCACTTTTTATGTGTTTTCTTACATTATATTAACCAATGAATTTATCATACTTTCTGTTATAAGATCATGTTTATTTTCTGATCACATTTTTATGTATCTTCCTTATGCTTCTACATATATTATTACTTATATAATTTACTCAAATTAAAAATGTGTAGAAAACTTAACAATCCCAAGAACAAAAATCTTTCATTGGTTGAACTTTTCCAGCATCCAGTAATGGTGCTAGATTTTCATTATGGGAGGGTGAAGATAGAAATAACATTGTTTTAGTGGAGTGGGTGTTATCTGCACATTTATCTTCAAACAAACTAATTTTTAAAATTTAGCAATTGATTTTCAGTAAGACATCAGTTGAAAAAGTTTAGTGAGTACATGTAATTACTTGAGGAACAATCAATTCACATTTTAAAAATTATAACACAGAACAGCATTATAAACTTTTTATATTAAAAGTACTTTTGCCTACTGTATTTAAGGTTTCATCAGTTATATTCAAATAGAATGGTCAGGACAAACTTCAAGAAACATTCTAGAAAACTGCATAAAACAAAAGTCTCAGAGTAAAATGGAGGGCAATATCATCTATTTAATAATTAATACAGTAGAGCGTCGTTTATCCGAATCAATTGGGGACTGAGGTTGTTTGGATAACTTATTTTTCAGATAACCAATTATGTACGAAAAAATATATTAATTTATCCCGTGTTGAAATTTTTCTCCGTTGCGTGTCGCTTTGAGTTGAATTTTCGTCGATGTTAAGCCTAATGAAGGCTATTGTATCGTTAAAAATTATTTTTTTATTTTGTACAAACAAAATAAATATATTGAAAAATATATTAACTTATATACATTATGTATCAGAAGTTAATTTAGTATCAAAAACGTAAAATATTTGAGTAGCCGAAGACATAGCCAAAGATTACAGNTTGCCTACTTCTTGTGAATGCTGAAGCATTACTGATCCTCCATTACAATTTTTCACTCTTGAATTATGATTATTAGGAAATAATATTTGCTCAAAATTTATTAAAGCTGTATTTATTTCAAAAAAGAATAAATAGCCAATATTCTAAATACCTGAGTTTTAAATTTTCTTGTCATTCTATTTTGTGTTTTATTTTTGTTTTCTTCCTTCTAAAATGAGATTTGGCCAAACCAATATGCCTTGAGAAAGTATTTGGTTTGATATTGAATTTATAGTATTTGGCCAAATACTTTAATAATGCTGAATAAATTTATTATAAATGTGGTGATATTTGTATCAATTTGTATTAAAATGTAAAAGTATTAGATAAGTTATAATTTTAAATACACTGATTTGTTTTTTTCTTTTTAAATTTATGTAGTAAAATGTAAACTACCATCACCTATTAACAATGGAAAAATAGATTATCAAAGTGCTACAGACAATGAAGTACCAGAAGGATTTATTTTAACATTCAGTTGTGATAGACTATATCATTTAATTGGTAATAAAACTATAAGATGTCTTGAAAGTGGTAATTGGAATAGTTTACCTCCAAAATGTATAAAAGGTACAATTAGTAAGTTTACTATTAAAAAATTTATTAACTTAGAAAATTTTTTTGTTATCTTTTTGTTCATGATTCATGTTTTATCAATAATTCCCCTAATTAACAAATTAATTTGATAATGTAATTATAATTGTAACAATAACCATAACCATAATTATAGTAGTATACGTATATTTCTTTTCTATCTGCTTACCAACAGCCCTATTTTTTATAAATTATTCAGAATTATTTGTCATTGTCTTCAAGATTACAAGGAATACAAGATAATTACAACTAGCTATAATTCTGAATATTTCCTTTAAAAAAAAAAAAAATAGATAATAATTTAGATTATTTTAAAATTCCATTATATTTTCATATATTTTACTCAAAGAATTGAATTTTTTTGTCAACTCTGTAATATGTTTTCTTTTTCTATTTTTCTTTATTCTATATTATTTTTATAGAAACATGATCTTTTATCTTTAACTTTTATATTTAATGAGAAGTATATAAATATTTTATATATTAGAACTTTAATATTTTGTGAAAATTAGTGTTAAAACATAAAATTGGATTTTAAAGTATTTAAGATCATTAAAATAATAATAAGCTTTCTACTCAAAATAATGCTGATTTTCTTCTTCACATTAGTTTTTCTCTCTAAATTTTACAAATATTTTCATAGCAGTTTTATTTTGATACAATTTCTATATTTAAATGAAACAATATTTACTACAGTCAATGTTTTTAATTAAAGGTCCAGAATAGAGAAATAACTATCTCATTTAAATATAAAGTTTGCATTGAGATAAGGTGTAAATGAATTCATTAAATTCATTTACACCTTGAAGTTACAGACAAAATGAAATGGAATTATGTGTAAAAATATTGAGCTACAAGTTGTAAAAGTTTAGTATGTATTTCTGCTAATATACATTGTAAAGTATTTAAAAAATTATGTATTTGTGTATTACTAGAAAAAATTGATTAAAATGTAGGAAGAGAAAAAGTATAAAATTATTACATTTCTTATTTTTATTAGATATTATTGAAATTACTTGAATTTATATGTAATTACCTTTAATCTGTGCTTCATATTTTTCTACATATATTTCTGAGAAACATCAGTTTAAATTTTTCTGCTTTTTTTCTGGTTAAGAGCATTTTCTACCATTGAAGTCATGCAATATTCATTATTTATATTTATTTTTATTTTAAAGTAATAAAACTGATTGCTTTGATATCAACGGGGTGCATCATAAACATTTCCTGGATATGCCCAATTGTGACAAAGCTTGATAAATATTACATAAACTGATATAATGCTTAGTTTAAACTAAAATTATATATAAAGGGGACATAGCTCAAGAATGAAGAGAAGAAAAGTAAACCAATAAAAGAGAATCAGAAAAATGGAATATTAATTGGCTTGTCAATTAGAACATTTAATATCTAAACATATTTAGTGATTAGTCCTTGGCTGTTTTTTTTACAAAGGGAGAAAAAAAGAGAAAATTTTTCTACACTGATCATTTCAATTCCTAAAGTTATTATATCATCAGTATGATAGTCCTCCATCCCAATGTACAAAGGAACTGAAATTTTGTATGTTGAAACTATCAAAATTTATCTGTCATTTATTCTTTATTCTTTTTCTTCATGATCTAGAAGTACCTCAAGAAGGTCTTCAAAAACTAGGAAAAAGTACCGTGTCAATCCTCTCAAGTTACCATTAAATACCTTGCCTTGGTTATCTTATCTAATCAAGTAATCTTGATGAATGACAAAACCATATTCTTTAATCAACTTCAGTGAAGTGTATGAACTGAAACAAGCCAACCAATACTGACCAGTGAAAATAAAACAAAGAATAAGTGGGAAAAATAAGATAGAAACATGTGGTATGAAGTGTATCACAATTTAAAGTAGGAAAAAAACGGAAGAAAAAAGTCCTTATTCCATTAGGAAGAAAGATAATTTAAATCCGTTTTTTGTTTTTATCTTTCTAAAAATACTTTAATATTGAAGTAATGTATTTTTAATTGATTTTACAAAAGGATATGTTTTATATTTCCTTGTATAATTAATTGAAAGTACAAATAAAAGGATTATTAAATTGAATTGTATGCAATACACTCTGATTAATTGAGGTGGTAATATTTTTTATAATTTTTAATAATTCTTATTAATATATGAATCATTTATAAATATTAATTTTAATTGACCTTTTTTCATATCAAATATTTCTATTTCTATAGTAACAGCCTGTGAAGAACCACCTAAACCAGCTCATGGTATAAAAGAGATATCATACTCTCAATCTGTTGCTATTAGTAGAATTGCAGTTATAAATTCTGAGTAAGTTTGCTTTATACAATATTCATTTTACAATTATGATATACATGTATGAAAGGAAATGACACTCACAAACATGTTTTCTGTTTAAAATATTAAAAAAATCTAGGTCTGGAATATCAAATTATCAGATAAAAGGATTAATTGTAACTGCTGAATTTATTGAGAATAATAATTTAGATAATATAAGGTAATAAAGTTTAGTAATAATTACATGAAGCTGATATTACAGGTATGCATTATCTATCAAAAGATTTAGTAACTATATGTTGTTCAAACACAGATGTCATGTAAACAAAACAAACATTGCAAAGTCAAGCTAGGGCTACTGCTTTAAATGTATATAATTATCTTTACTTGTTTAAATTTACTTAGTAGTGATTAAAAAATAAGTATATATCTTTTAGAATTAAATGACAATGTTTGTGTCATGTATCTTAACTAAATGTCATAATTATGTAGATAGGGGATAATTACTGAAAATTCATCATGATAAAATTCATATAGTAGTATTTAATAATATCAATTAAAGCATGGATTGAACATAAAGAAAATGAATGAAAGAAATCCAAAGGCAAGGTTTATGTGTTATTGTTTTTGGTAATTATAGGAACTACCACAATTAGAGAAGAATATGTCTACAGCATACAGCAGATGCTTTATAAAAATATTCTTAGGAATTTTAGACAAAGGAAAAGCTGTTTATTAAGTTTGTAATTGCAGTTTAAAATCAGCATATAGCATGTCCATGCATATTCCACATTCCATTTCAAATTTCCTTTTAAGCACAAATAACACTGGGTTATTTGCACAAAATTATTGTATTAAAAAACATCAGTTATTTCTAAGTTAGAGAAAATTATTTTTTTAATGCATGTAAAATCTACATGATGCACATTAAATATTTATATAAAATTAAATTATAGTATACATACATATTATCTATAAATATTCATTACTAGTATAATATTTGCAGTGTCATAGTGAAAATTTTCCTGTAGAAAGTTTCAAAAGGTATAAAATATCTTTGAGGTATATGAAGAGCTCAACGAAAGAACAATCAAAGTCCACTTTTATATGTTTGTAAACTGAACCTGCAATTTTGTAAATTACAAAGTATAGAATGCAATGGTGATGTCAGTTTAGTGAAAAAACAATCATAGTTCTCTCCAGAGCCATGTAAAGAAAATGAAGTTGTTGGAAAAATATAGTCCATTATATTTGCAGAAAGAACAATCAAGATCCAGTCAAATAACTGCAGTAACCAAGGAGCATTATTATGTAACAATGTTCTGTTCAACTGGAAAGTATAAAAGTCACATTTCCTATAAGATGGCATAGTTATGTGGAATGCAATGAAACTTTCAGTTTAGTAAACCAAAAGTGAATTGTTTGTGTGCCAGAAGGCTGGATGAAAGTGTTTTCCAAAGCAACATAAAAACAAACACCATTTTATGTGTTAGAATGCAAACAGGACATGTTCAAGAATTACAATAAATTTTTACATTTATTTTATCTATGACAATCTCTTTTTAGCATTCAAAAAACAAGGGAATGGAAAATAAAATCAGTGGCTATCCAAACCCTACTACATCATAATGCATACAGTGGACTTTGGTTTATGTCAAAACTCACAAAACATACTTCCAAGGGTGTTGAAATATTGAAAAATCTTAAGTCTGCTCTTATCCCATTACCTGCGGCAAAATACAATTTGCAAGCTGTAAAGCAGTTTGAGGCAACAAAATGCCATAAATACTTTGACAGTTTACCACAATCTCGTGATGATTAGTGGCTGAATAAATACTTTTTTCTAATTGCGTGACTTTTATCCACATTTTCAGCTTTAGAAAGGTTCAAACATTTATTATGATGGGAAAAATTCTGTTGCTGTGTGTAGTTTCAGCTTGGCAAGTTGTCAAACTTTAAAATTAAAATTGCTAGTTTTTAGTAAAAGTGGACTTTTGAACTCTCTGACTTTGTAAAGCTAGAATTCAAAATTTATCCACAGATCTTGTTATAGAATGGCATTATTTCGGCACTTCAAAAAGAATAAATTTACAAAGAATGGACAATACTGTACCTTCCTCTGTCATTCAGTGCCTCAAGCAGTTGGCTACTTTGGTTAGGACAATGAGTATATGTAAAATATATATAGATGTGCTTATGAATATATGCTTTGTTTTAAAAATTTATATACATTTTTATTTGAATTTATATTTACATTAAAATATATTCTTTAAAACATCACTAAGATAAGCATAAAATGCAATATTGGACTTTTTCAACAAGTAACTTTTGAAAAATTATCTTATTATTTAAATTACAAAGCTTAATTAAAATTGTGTAAATTGGATCTTATTGAGATTAATGTTGTAATAAATCAGAATTAACTTTGGCTTTTAAAACTATTGAATTAAGAAAATTTGTTGATTCACATTTATATATTAACAATTTTATGTATAATTTAATAAAGTCTAAGATATTTGCAATACCATTTATTCATATTTTGAATTTTATTATTTTTTAAATTCATATCAGAGTTGTAATAAATCAATCTTTCGTAATTTAATTATTAAATTAATTAAAGAATTGTGTTCTTTTTCATAAACGATTAATTTTGTACATGAATCTATTTACAGTTTAGCAACAGATCTTCCTCCAACACATCTTTCAGAGCCTAAGAATAGCAATACAGAAGATGCATTACCTGCTGGATTGTATAAAGTTGGTACTCGTGTTAAATACAGTTGTGAATCTAGATATTATCAATTAGTTGGATCACAATCTCGAAGATGTACAAAAGATGGCACTTGGACTGGAAGGATAGCATCATGTATTCCAGGTTGTGTCCATGTTATCACGTTATTGTAATGTAATTAGCTCAATTAAGTTTGATATAGAATATTTTAATTTATAAAATAGTATTAGACACTTTAAAATTCAGTAATCTTTCTTAAGAAACTTACTCNTAGTATTATGCTTATTTATGTTTTTTTAAATTTTACTTTCTTAACTATTAGATTATTACAATTTAAAGTAATAAATATGAAAACAGGTATCTTTTCATTAAGTTTTATTCTTAAATTTACTTTTTATGATTTTAAGGTTGTCCACCTTCATGGGATCAGTTTGAGGAATATTGTATTTTTATCAACAATGACAAAAGATCATGGAATGAAGCTAAGCATATGTGCCAAAATATGGCTGGACAACTGATTATATTAAAAAGTGATATAGAAGAAAAATTAAAATCTTACTTACAAGAAAAAAGTATGTTTGTTTTATTTTCGAAGGAATACAATTAATGTTAAATACTAAATAAAGTTATAATATAGCTTAAAAATGGTTCCTACTATAATCCCATTTTTAAAAACTGTAAACTTATTTATGGAAATCAAAAATGATTCTTTTATTAATTACTCTGTAGTAGTCTCTGTAATCTGACATATGTTGGACCAGCAGGTGTTGGAACATACTGGATTTTGTATGTACTGTACTGTACATACATACTGTACTGTAAAATACACAATACATTAGTTTATTGTATTAATCATGATTGTAACTGTTTTGCTTGTGCAACAAACAACTAGTAACTGATAGTATACACATACATTCAGTCTCTCTCAGTTGCATAAATGGACAAGTTCACATGTGACACCTTGCAGAATGTCAGATTATGGACATATCAGATTGGTAAGTAATGGATTACAGAGACTCTATTGTATTTTGAGATTATTACAAAGTTTAGAGTCAAAGCTATTTATATATTCTGGTGATAAAGATTTATCTTCAGATTTCTTAATAGAAGAATACTTTCTGATTTATTTAAGCTCATAACTTTATAAAAAGTTACTATTTGCTAAATTTTCGATTTTAGTTTTATCTAGCACAAACTAAGATATGTTTTTAGTTTGAAATAAAACAAGATTACACATTTTAATATATTAAAAACATAAAACTTAAGAAAACATCAGAGCAATAATGGATTGTATGCTTTAGAAACTATACATTTCACATTGCATTAAAATTTTAGTCAGAAATATACCAGATGATCATAATCAAAGTATGCTATTCGGTGCTGTCTAGAGAGATATTTAACAGTTCAAATTCAACCAAATTTGGTGTGGTGACATTTCAGGACATGCAGAAGACATTTCTATAAAAAAATAATTTGTACCAAAAATCACCACTATGAACTTTTGGCACTGCAATTAACAATTAAGTTACACACAAAAAGGTATTTTGAAAATAATTTCATATCACACTTTTTGATTTGTATGTTATGAAATTGTTAAAACACAACAATATGATAATACAAACTAACATGAAATAAAATTGTCTTAATGCAATAAAAAAAACAAAAAAAAAATTTATCATGAAATCAGCTTTTAAGACAACATCGAGCTAAAATTTTATAGCATTTATATGTAACTTTATAGCTTAATAATTAAAGTATAATTTAATGAATTAACGCTGGAAAGTTTTTCGCTTTAATAAATATTTATATTTAATAATAATAAAAACTTTTTAATCAACTTTTAAAACTTTTCTAAATATTAATTAACTTAAATATTTAATAATATTTAAATAATCGAGTACGTACCATCGGCTAAATCGATTGAACTTTCATTGGAAATATCTTTAATTTTAGACGAATCGTGTGGCTGTTGATCGATTTTACTCGATATATTTTCGTTAAGAATCAATTTATTGCCATTTACTGACGTATTTGCAGATAAATAAGTGAAAAATAAACAATAGATAAAGCCTAAGGCCAGCGAGTTGGACATGATACTTTTACTTTATGAAAGAGATTTATCTTTAGTTAAGATTTTATGTAAATTTAATTAATTTCAGTAATTTAATATGTTTAAAATTATGAGAAATTTAAATCCATAATTAAATATTCTATAATATAAATAATTTGCATTTATTAATAAATCATTGTAGGTGTATTATTTCTTAAAATTCCCTTTAACCTTAACACAGATTCTATTATTAAAATTACTTAAAATACTCTTTATTTGAATATTAAACTTAATTTTTTCACTTTAGATTATTAATATATTTAAATATATTATATAATTTATAAATTTAAATTGTATATAAATTGTTAAAGCAATTTATGTAATAAAAATAACAACCCTTTTATTATACATATATAGAGAATACTAATTGTTTTTAAAAAATAAGAATAAAAATTTTATTAACTTATTTATATTTATAAATAAATTTGCATTTTAAAAAATAGATTTTCAGATTCATGACACACAAAAATTTTATGTTACTAAATTGATTTGTTTTAAATTATAAATGATTTAACTATTTAATACACCAGTCTTTCAACCGGTAGATCGCGACTTCCTAAATGCTTTATATGTTAATATTATAGTCTTCTAGTAAGGTAAAGGTTGAAGTTATATATTAGATCATAGTTTTAACAGAATTTAAAGCTTGGAAATGTTAATATAACAAGACGTTATATGATATTTAAACTTATTTATTAATTTTAATTAAGTTGTAAATTATGAAAATTAATATATTTGTTAATAAATAAGGAGTTGAGAGAATATATTTTAATTTAAATATATTTTTTTTTTATTTTTCTTCCTTTATTTTAATACACAATGCGTATATTTTGTGTAAATAAAAAGAAACGTACAATTCAATTTTTCTTAAGTACTTTACAGCTTCTATACAATTTTTTCGACTACATTTTATCATAAAAGTATTTTCCGTGACGTAAATGCCGACCTTCAACGATTCTTTAATAATTTAGTTGAATACTTACAGTGAAAAAATTATCTTTACATTCGGTATAAGGAAGCAGAATAACAATTTTTATTAAATAAATTGTATTCGGGCTCAAATAATCCTTATTACAGAGGCCCGGATCTCATATTTAGAGGGCCTCAAAAACATTTATTAAAAATAATCATTTTTTTTATTATATTTACTATAAATAGAACGAATTTTCAGCGTTTTTTTATATCTTTTAATGTAGTGGGCTTCAACCTAAATGGTACGGGCCTCTTTCGACCTCCGAGATGTCCTAGGCCCGGAAGATAATTAGTAGGGCGTTTAGTCCGGGTTTCATAAATGATTAAATTCTGGAGGTTTTGATTATAGAAAAGCTCCTAAATTTAGTCTTTTATGCGAATAACTTGATAAATATTAAAATTTCTTTCGATAAGTAGAGCTAAATCTGTGTTTTTTTTATTGATTTTATTCATATATAGGTCTATTTTTATTGCTTTCGGAGAGTGTCGAGGACCCGTCTCACTTCTTTCGGACCGATTGTAATAAAATAAAACAAGATTTATGATATATTTAGTATATTTTATTATTATTTTAATCGCTTTTCTTAGTATTTTTTACGCCAACCTTACATAACTTATTCAAGTGCCCGTCTTTTTTTTTTTTTAACATACTTTCGCTTGACTTATAGAGCGGAAATTTTTAC